CAAGAAGGACGAGTTGGTCGTCGCGCGCGCACAGTACGACGCGCTGTTGGCCCAGCACGACGCGCTGCGGGCCCAGAACACTCGACTGCAGCAAGCGACCAACGAGTCCCAGCGGCTGCAGTCGAGCCAAGTCGCCGAGCTGGACGCGCGCTGCAAGGCCGCAGAGCTCGCGCGCATGGGCGCCGAGGCGCGCGCGCACTCGATGGAGATCGAGTTTATCAAGGCGCAGAACAGTGCCACCATCCTCGCGTACAAGAACGCCGGCCTCGAAGAGTCGCTCGGCGTGGCCGGCGACCGCCTCGCTCAGCTCCAGCACCACAACGCGTGGCTGGCGGCTCAGCTCAACGTGGCGGTCCAAGCCGCACCGGCGCAGCTGCCCGCGGCTCCTCAAGGCGCGCCGGTGCAGTGGCCCGCGCCACCGCAAGGAGCGTCCGACGTCGACATGTCGGACGTCGACGCGGAGGAAGACATGGCGCCATCCACAGCTCCGGCGCCGCCGCAAGCCGTACGCCCATCTGCTATCCTCGACAGGCTATTCATCATCGAGTTTTGTGTAGGACACGAAGCCAGCGCGCGCCAAGGGCAACCTCAACGCGACGCTATTTGGTCTGCTCGACGAGATCGACGACGCGACGCCTACGACCAAGGCGTCCCAGCCGACGCCAGCAGCGGTATGCATCTCTTTATCTCCGCGTCTCTCATGACATCGTAGGGCACCAACCCGTTTGCCCCGTCCCCAGCTCGCAAGCGCACAGGCAACGTGGCTCGCAAGCGCCCCGCGTCGCAAGGACCGCCCATGCGCACGCCGACCAAGAAGCCAAACCAAGCATAGCGCTTCTAAACAGAGCATAATACATAGCCCATGCGCACGAAAAGTCTCTATTTCCATGTCAACCTCCAGCGACTCTCGCTTGTCGCTCGACAAGCCATGACCTCGTGCTTGGGCGAAGGACGTTGGCCAGCAGGCGCGCTGCAGAAGCGCATCGCATAGGCAGCGGCCGTTGGCATCGAAGAGACCATCATGAAGCAGAGGAAGAGCAGGTGCGTCGTCGTGGCGGACTCGAGCCCCACGGCGCCACGCGCGTTGAGATCGCCCAATGGACCGCCGTCGTAAATTGAGGGAACAACGGTGTACTGCGTCGTTTTACAGACACGTTTGATTGTTTTGAGAGACTATTCCGTGCGTTTTCCGAGAACGTTCTGCTGTATCGCCCATTCGACGAC